ACGCCCAACCTAGGGTTAGGGTTTGGTCCTGGGAGGATGGCAGACCTGAGGTGCCAGTGCGGACTCAGGCTCTCCAGAGGGCTGAGTTGAGGGCATTGCTCTGGCGGCCCATCAGGCTCCGGGATTGTGGTGTGGGGGTCCTTGGAAGGTGTGGGTGGCTTCAGGGGGCATGGACGTTTCTCCGGCCAGGAGGGTTCTGCACAGGGCCATGGGGTCCCTGTGTGGTCCAGCCACACATGACTGACATTGTATTTCCAGTGGCTGCTGGTTTAGAGCCTGGAATTTGGAGGATATGTGACCTCTAGAAAAAGCTAGAAAGAGGGGAGGGGACACCTGGGTGGCTCAGTCAGTTAAGCGTCCAACTCTTAGTTTCAGCTCCAGTCAAGATCTCAGGGTCCTGAGATCAATCCCCTCGTCGGGGCTCCACGCTCAGTGCAGAGTCTGCTTGTCCCTCTCCCTCCTCTGCTTCTCCTCCCCCAGCTCTCTCTCTCTCTCTCTCTCTCTCTCTCAAATAAATAAAATCTTAAAGGAAAAAAAAGAGAGGGGAGGTGGAGGAAGAGAAAACAATCTCTTGCATTTGCAAATGTCTTTTAAGACCAATGAAATCTTTAGTTAATTTGGCTATTCCTCATAAGAAGGAATACGCATGAATAGTGGACTAGGATTATTTTCCTAATAAGGTTTCAGTCGAGTTCTCCCAGAAGACGACCCTGGCTCAGAATCCATGTTGGAAGGCGACCCAGGAAGCAGCTGTAAGGGGGAGGGGAAGCGGGACCAAGAAGGGAAGGAAGCAGAAAGAGGGTGTGGATGGGAGCCGCTCGTCACCACAGGCACCTGGCTCCTCTCAGTGGGGCTCCCTGAAGGGCTCTATGGGTTGTGACTCAGAGGGTTCCCACCTGGGATGTGAAGGAAGCCAGGCTTTTCATCTACCTACTGCCAGTAGTTGCTGACTGAAGGCTGCTCCTAGAGGCATCAGCCTCCCCACTCCCCTCAGCCCCCCAGCGTGCCCTGCCCGGGCCCGATAAAACCCTGGTGCCCAAAAGAACAGGTGTTTGCAGCCCAAAGCCACCAGCAAGCCCGAGAGTGTCCGAGGCCCGGGGTTGGGCCCCTCTAGTGCCTGGCCCTGACGCCAAACCGAATGTTTTCTCCCATAACTCATGATTTCAACAACCGTTTGTATAGTTCCTGATGTATGTGTTCATTTCCTCCCCTGAGTTTAACAACAGCGCAGGTAGGCAGCTCTGTCCACACGCACACCCCCCGGATGGGGAAGCTGGGCCCGGGTGGCGTCTGTCCAGGAGAACTGAGCTGGAATGGTAGCCCCAGTCTCCTCACTCCCTGCTTGTGTGGTCGCTCAGGCCAACTCCTTGGATCTCTCCAGAGCTCAGCTCCGTAAGGAGATGTAAATGTATTAACGTTTTCGAGGCGAGAACAGGAAACTCGGACTATTTTTTGGGTACACCATAGAATTCCGTAGATAGCCGTAGGGAAGTAGATACTTCTCTACACTTAGTCCCAAGACTCTTACGCCAAAAAATATTATCTCTCTTTTGCACGAAGCACAGTCAAAATTGGGAGGTTATAGGACCTGCTGACCGCCACACAGGATGTGAGCAATCCAGTTAAATTCTCAAAAACACCACAGAAGTCCCCGTAGTAGAAGCTTATGGATGCATGGTTCACTGAGGACTGGATTTTGTTACCTCCCCATTACCCAGGCTCTCTTCAGAAGTGTTGTCAGTCCCTTTGGTACTTCTTGGAAACAAGTCTCTCTCCTAGCTTCATTTCCCTTTATTATGCTTGTAAGTGACTCGATAATTCTTTGTGGACTTCAGTAACACTTGTACTATTTAACTTTGAATAACCCCAAAGGATCCAGATAGGTCAATGTGTTTAAACCACAGGCTTTAGTCTACATATTAGCTGATTAAAAACAGATTTTTATACATGATGTATACTTAGTAAAAGGAGGGGAAGCAAGCAGATGTTTGTAAAATCTAAATATGTTAGATTCTATTTATTTGGCTCTCTTTCGCTGACTAGCTTTAGAAAAATCATACCTGTGATCACCGAAGTGTAAACAGTTAGATGATGTATTTCCCTAGAAATTTCCTGCTCGGAAGGGTCAGCCAAAAAGGCAAGGAAAAAGATTCCCTGAGATTATCATACCAAAAGAAGTTGACACATATACCATAAAGGAGTTACGTCTAGATAAGGACACTGAGTAATGGAACGCCTTAGAATTAGTCTCTAGTCTCTGGCCATAAAGTGATTAGTAGCTGTGATTCATTTCATCCAAACAGAAAAAACTTTTGGCTGTTGTCTGCGTTGTTGATGTGGTCTGCGTTGTTGTTAAGAGCTTCGAAAGCAAGGTTTTCTTCGATGCAACCATGAGATCATGAACTTGAACTTTAATCACTCTGTCTGGTTCCTTCTCTGTCTTTCTGTTAAGGTGTCCCATCCTTTCAGTGGGAAATAGTCATTTTTCTCCTTTAAAATATTTGTATTTGAGACGCTTTGCATGTTGCAAAGCCAAAATTGAAGCATTCCTGTTGGTCTTCCAGTCCTGATGAAATACGTACCAAACCTCCGTCTGAGTTCTGAGCACATGAGAACTACAGATAAGATATTTTCAAATGGATTTTGAAGAGTAATAATCAAGTTCCAACATAAGTGGAAAGTCTCCAAGGACCGGAAATGAAAGGAGATGCAGAATGGTGGGGGAAGGCTGAAGCTGGGCTACTCAGGAGAAGTGGAGATGAGACGGGGCGGTGGGAACCGGATGGGGGGAACGTGGTGGAGAGTGTCCCGCATGGGGCAGAAGCCTTAGACTGTCCCATATGCCCGGAGGCCAGAACTCCCCATGGAAATACTGGACTCACAGGGTACCTCCCACCTTGTCTGGAATTGGAGCCAGACAGGACTCTCAGGGACAGAATGCCTCAGGGAGGCCCTGAGTCAAACTGGGATCAGTGCCTCTAACACACGGGCGTCCTGTGGGAGTGCCCTCTCTGGGGAACCGATCTCACGCCCTAACATCAGAGTGGGCAGCTCATTTGGCTGTGCTGTGCCAATCCCCGGATCCCAGCCCAGGGAACAAAGTTTGCATCAGATGAGCAGTCGGACAAAGATTGTAAGATACGAGATAAAATCAGACTCTTGGGAAACGTCACGCAAACACAGGAAAGTAGGGAATTGCCTTTTTTCAAGTAAGCTTAAGAATAAATAAGTGTGTTTACTTTTCTTGAAATTGTGAAGGAGGGAACTACCTATCCTGGGAACAAGAAGAGAAGGTAGTTCAAGAAGAGGGAGGTGTGATAAAGAATCCACTGGAAACGAAAAATGTGGTCATTGAAATGAAAAAATTAGGCAGTAGGATAAACACCAGATTAATAAGCAGAACTTGTTTAAGAATGACCAGGGAGATTTCTGTTTCTGACGTATGCATTTTAAGCATTAAGTAAAAGTGACTCTTTTCCTGAGTGTACCTTTCAAAATCTAAAATTTTGTGAAGTAGAAAGAATAAATGCTTTCAGAAATTAATTTCATGGCATGGTGAACTGTTATCACCTTGATGAAATTATTGATTTTCAAAATACTCTCTTCAAATCCTCTTTCACAGATGGCATTATAAATCCTCCATCTGTTTTCTTTTCCATGAAATTTCCTTCTGTTCCCTCTTTTCACTGTATTTGTGGAATTGTCTAACTAGTAAAACACATAGTCGCCCTAATCCTTGCCGTGATCTTGGTTCATGACATTGTTCTAGCCCCTGCCCGTGACCACCTCTACCTCCATCCCATCTTCCCAAGAAATTCCCATTGTTGTTCACCAAAAACTCCATGGCCCATCCTTCCAGCCTCAGCGGAAGGAATGTGTCCTCTGGAAAACCTAACTCTTTCACAGCACTTCCATCCCCCCCCGCCCCGCCATCTCCTGGTGGACAGGGAGTAGGAGTTTCTGGTTGTGTTTCCCCAGTATCTCTCCAAGTCTGGCATTAGTAGAAGCGAAATAAATACTTGTGTGAATGGATAAATGAATGAGTGGCATCAATGAAGAGCATGCAAAACAAGAAGCGGGTTATTATGGTCGAAAACTAGATTTAATGGTCATTACAGGGAACTTTAAATTTGATGTTCTAAGGCAAGAGGAAGTAATTCTAGATTTGTAAGCGGGACGGTGATATGAAAAATGTGGCATTCAAGGAAATTTAATCTGGCATTGATATGTTGATAGACAAAGAATAGAAGCACTTACGATAAAATGTACTACGAGTGAGTAAATGTGTATGATGAGGACTTAGTCATCATGTCAGCAATAGCCAGATAATTCAAACCTTCCTCTGAGGGACTGACCTCAGCCTGCCCGTAAGATGGTAAATCCTAAAAATCCAATAATAGTTTATTTGCAGTGGGAATATATTCCTTATATTATTGCCACTTCTGAGTCAGGTAAAGAACTAGAAATCCAATTACCTCTTTTCTCCCTAGTTCATGACCTATAGCTAATTATTCCGGTAAATGTGCCTGAGTTCGTACAAGGAGGAGGAAAAAAGAATGAAATTTGAATCTTTTTTAAAGGTTCTTTTAAATGCATCTACTCAAAGTCGAGCTTAAATCTATAAATGCAGGGTGCCTGGGTGGCTCAGTCGGTTAAGTGTCTGCCTTTGGCTCAGGTCGTGATCCCAGGGTCCTGAGATCGAGCCCCATGTCGGGCTCCCTGCTCTGCAGTGGGTCTGTTTCTCCCTCTTCTGCCCTTCTGCCTGCTTGTGCGCGTGTGCACGCTCTCTCTCTCTCTCTCTCTCTCAAATAAATGAATAAAATCTTAAAAAAATAAATCTGTAATTTATTAAAGCTGCATAGATTTCATTGAGGTTTCTGAAAAAAGGATCACATTTTCCTGAGTATGAGTAATTTGGTTATTAAAGGTTTATAATACTTCAGGATATGGCACAATATTTTCAGGATGCAAAATAATATTTTTCTTTTCTTTTTGAACAGCAAAACTTAGAGAGTAACCTCACCAGCCTTATCAAGAGGAACACGGAACTAGAGACCCTTTTGGCTAAACTCATCCAAACCTGTCAGCATGTGGAGGTGAGTGTCTCTTTGTGCTGTGTTTCACAATTATACCCTCCTTGCCTTTGCATTTTTAAGGTGGGAATCTTTTTAACACTAGATCTTTTGCAGAAGCCAGATATAAAAGATGAGCAGAATTGGAAAGAACTAGGATATCAGAGACTCTGTCCCCATGCACTGCTTTGTCCCACCCCCACTGCCGCCATGACAGCTCTATCTGCTGCGGTGGCGTTACTTAGCATTCCTTTTTTTTTTTTAAATTTTTTATTGTGTTATGTTAATCACCATACTGTACATGATGAGTTTTTGATGTCATGTTCCATGATTCATTGTTTGCATATAACATCCAGTGCTCCATGCAGTCCGTGTCCTCCTTAATACCCATCACCTCCTTAATACCCATCACCCATACCCATGTGGTGACCCATCCCCCCACCCCTTCCCCTCTGAAACCCTCAGTTTGATTCTCAGAGTCCATATTCTCTCATGGTTCATCTCCCCCTCTGATTTCCCCCACTACATTTTTCCTTTCCTTCTCCTAATGTCCTCCATGCTGTTCCTTATGTTCCACAAATAAGTGAAACCATAGGATAATTGACTTTCTCTGCTTGATGTATTTCACTCAGCATAATCTCCTCCAGTCCCGTCCATGCTGATACAAAAGTTGGGGATTCATCCTTTCTGATGGAGGCATAATACTCCATCATGTATATGGACCACATCTTCCTTATCCATTTGTCTGTTGAAGGGCATCTCGGCTCCTTCCACAGTTTGGCTATTGTGGACGTTGCTGCTATGAACACTGGGGTGCATATGGCCCTTCTTTTCACTACATCTGTATCTTTGGGGTAAATCCCCAGTAGTGCAATTGCAGGGTCATAGGGTAGCTCTATTTTTAACTCTTTGAGGAACCTCCACACTGTTTTCCAGAGTGGCTGCACCAACTTGCATTCCTACTGACAGTGTAGGAAGGTTCCCCTTTCTCTGCATCCTCTCCAACATTGTTGTTTCTTGCCTTGTCGATTTTGGCCATTCTGACGCGTGTAAGGTGGTATCTCAATGTGGTTTTGATTGGCTAATGATGAAGACCACTTTTTCATGTGTCTGTTAGCCATTCGTCTGTCTTCTTTGGAGAAGTGTCTCTTCATGTCTTTTGCCTGTTTTTTGACTTGAGTATTTGTTTTTTGAGTGTTAGCATTCCTAATGTTATAGATTTTAATTGCCTTGACAGAGGGCATCCAGAAAAGCACTGTGTAAAAGCTGTCGTATCAGTTTCCCTGAGGCTGCTGTAACAAATCCCCACGAACTTGGACGGCGTGAGATTATAGAAATGTGTTCTCTCATAGTTAGGCAGCCAGAAGTTCGAAATCAAGCCTTGCTCCCTCGAAAGATTCTAGGGAAGGACAAGTCCATGCCTCTTCCCACCTTCTAGTAGTTCCAGGCAATTCTTGGAGTTCTTGGCTTGTGTCTGCAGCACTCTCACCTCTGCCTCTGTGGTCCCATGGCCTTCTCCCTGTGTGTCTCTGTGTCTGTGTCCAAATCTCCTTCTCACAGGATACCAGCCATTGGATTGGAGCCATCCTAAGCCTGGGGTGAATTCACTTTAACTCAACTACATATGTAAAGACCCTGTTTCCCAACCAGGTCATATTTGAAGATACCAGGGTTTAGGACTTGAACATAATCTTTCTGGGCGGGCGGGCGGGGGGGGGGCACAATTCAACCCACTGCAGATGTGCATTCAGTGCATCTTAGTTGTCAGATACATTTCCATGAAATGGACCACTTGTTGGGATTAAGTCAAGAGTATGAAAGCAGCAGTGACACCAAGGACAAATCGCAGAACACGGATGTTTCTAATCCTCTGCTTAGAATGGATTCATTTTGAGGGGGTTTGGGTGGCACATTTAGTTGAGCATCTGGCTCTTGATTTCGGCTCAGGTCACGATCTCAGGGTCGTGGGATCGAGCCTTGCATCGGGCTCTGCGCTCAGCTTCTCCCTCTCTCTCTGCTCCTCCCCAACTTGAGCGTTCCCTCTCTCTGCCCCCCACTCAAATAAATAAATAAAATCTTAAAAAAAAAAGAATGGATATGCTTTTGGCAAGGGTCTCTCCAAGGGACTATTTTGAGCCTTGTTGATTAAACAACATGGTAAATACCAGTGAACAAGCATAATGTTTTCATTATTGTAGGGCACAGTGAATGTGTTATAGGAATAAATGGGTGAACTAAATGGAATGATCCATGTGCTATATTTTATTTTTATGAAGTGATGGCATTTGATGTTTAGGACAATAAGAAAGAATAATTTCTCTTCAGTAAAAAAAAAATTACCTGTGTTTTATGGGGAAATTTTACAAAGGCTTTATGGATTGGGTGATTATTTCATTCAATTTCAGCTAGTTACTTCTTAAAGCATTTAGTGTCTGGTTTCTATTACGGCCTGTAGTGATTTCAGAACAACTGTCTCGCTCCTAATGCAATCTCAGTATGGCTTGAATTTACAAAATGCTATTCATTTTAACATGGAAAATTACTTTCCATAATGTTCAGTCATTTCAAAGGATAGAGAGAAATTTACCAGCAGATTTTATTTTTCTTCCAAAAGATCAGATATTTAGTTGTGATAGAGGCTTTTTAAATAAAGCTATTAGTGAGTTGATCATACGTGCCATTGAAAGTTATTTACAAGGAGTAAAGAGTATGTATTCTTTTCACTGGGTTTCTGTATAAAGCCTTAGGAATGGAAAGGAATCCTTGTGGGTGAATAAATTTGGTATTTGGGGAAAACATTCTGGATAAAAATTAAAATTAATTATGGGTAGAAAAATGATAGTGTAAGTACCTATTTTTTACTCTTATATTACGTATTTCTTGTTCATAATTATTAATATCCTCAGAGTGTAACTTTTCAAAATATTGAACATCCAGTTCTCATGCAATAATCCAGTGAGTCTGTTGAAAATTTATTTAAGGCACTGATGAAGGCGTCAGCAAGGTTGTAAGGCTGGCCTGAAGGAGCAGAGCAGAAGCCAATGCCCACACACGTGGGGTGCGGGGGGCGCTGGGGGTGTGGCGCAGGGAGAAGGGCGCTAGGATCAGGTAGCTAACTTAGATGCAAAAGCGGTTCATGACCCAAAGGGCTGGAAAGTCATAACATTTGGGCAAAATGAGTGGTATAGCATCAGTTCTCTCCAAGTTAATGTTTAACTTTGCCCAGACTAAGACTGGATCAGGAGTGAAGAGAAAGCCGGACCTCTCTTCCTTAGGCCGCCTTGGTGGGTTACGTGTTAGTATGATCTAGTGCGATCTAGTACGATCTAGTACAACCCCATAAGGACTCACAGTCTTCTTTTCGCCTTATTTCCCGGTTTGGGATAATTTAGTTTAACATAAATTTCCGCTCTTCCTGTTCCCATCCCCGTTGATCGATGAGTGGTGTTCACACACACACATTTCTGGGCGAGGGCGTACATTTTAGCCTCTGGCCAGTTACTTCGGTTTGTTCAAGTGTGACGCTAGCTCGTTCACTCGGCTCACGTGTAGGGGGCATCTGCTGTGTGTGTCACACTCTACTTGGCACCAAGGGAGACCGGCCGGCCCGCGGGGAGCTTATGGTCCTGCTCAAGACCCAAGAAGAACCGCAATACAGACTAGAAAACTACGGGCTGTAGCGAGGCATGGACTTGGTATTTGGAATTTCTGAGAAGCAAGACATTTCTTCTAGCAGTGGGGGGTGGGGCGGGGAGGACGACAGAGCAAGCAGTTCGCTCTGCGGAAACAGGTGTGTGCAGGGCATCGGTAGGAACCAGCTTTCGAGAGATGGAGAGGGGGGCAGACTTTAATAATCCCATCGTTCTCTGAACTTGTGTTTGGTCCTGAAGGTTTAGTGAGGGTTCACGGAGTACAAAGACCTGGGTAACGTTCCCAGCGACAACCGGCATCCCCAGTTCTTTTCAGTAAAGGATATTTTGGGCTAACGGAAAACTAACATGGATGGCTTCGTGCAGAAGGCACTGAGCGCGCGGCCTGGGGGCGACCCCCACGGCCCACTCGTAAACTGCAAAAAGCGAGTGGAATTTGTTGGGCCCTTTTAAATCAGTGCAGAGCGGACAAGAATTTCCTGGTTCACATCCGAGGTTCCGGGACTGTATTTCTTCCTTTTCCTCTTCCTGAAGGTGTCCTTGTGTTCGGGCCTGAGCCTGCTGAGGGAAAATGACCCCCCTGACAGGCGACTCGCGATTGTTGTAAATGAAATCAATGAGTTCCCACCAAATCCTGAGGAAATGCCACATCCTTCTAAGTCCACACCTCCTTCCTGGGATTCACTTCTGCTTTTCTTGAGAATGAAAAGAGTCTGAAGGTCTCCCCCCATCCCCATTGTTTTCGTAACTTGTTTTTACAGTGAGGGTTAGCAAGTGAAATGGCTTTTTGAGGGTAAGTACCAAATCCTTTTAAAATACTGTTAGGCTGAAAAGAAATAAAAAATTTAAAACAAAAAAAAAAAAACAAAACAAAACAAAACAAAAAAACAAAACTAGTGAACGTGGGGCATGAAGTCCTGCAGGCTCTTTGGGACTCAGGAGGGGGAGGCCCTGAAAGGTATCAGGTAGACTCCCAAGAAGCGTGCAGGGAATGTGGTGGCTTCTAAAAACCAGTGGGTTTTTGGCCACTGGGTTTTGTTCTCGTTAGGAGAATGGACAGAGGGCCGAGTTTATTAGCTAAGCAAATACGGATAGGTGTCAAGTTCTCGACACATTCCCAGAATCGAGTTCTTTCACAGGGCCTACAACACTGGACACAAACAAGATGTTCATTTGGGGAGTTACAGGTGACCAGTGACTAAATACACAGAGGGATGGTGAAGAAAGACTGGGGAATGGTGACTAATTCATTGCCAGAGCAGCATGGAAAAAATAAAGGCTCATTCACCTGACCTCACCATCCTTGCCCAAGCTCATCCTTCCAAGGGGGTTCTCCAAGCCAGCATCCTGCCTAAATCCTGGCATTAGCCCCTG